GAGGAGGAGGAGGAGGAGGAGGAGGAGGAGGAGGAGGAGGAGGAGGAGAAAAAAGCCGGTGAGAAGGAGAAAATAAAGGAGAAAGGAGGAGGAGGAAAAGGGAGAGGTGGAGGGAGAGAAGGAGAAGGAAGATGAGGAGAAAGAGAAAGAGGAGGACAGATGAATGACGTGGAGGAGGAGGAAAAGCAGTAACAGAATGAGGCGAAGGATGAGAAGATGGAGAGGAGATGAAGGAGAATGAAGAGGAGGACGAGAGGAGAGGAGGAGAAAGAGGAGGGGGAGGAGGAGGAGCAGCAGCAGCCAAGGGCACACACTCTTCCTCCTCCTCTCCCTCCTCTTCGTCCCCCCTCCTCCCCGGACCCGAGCCCAACCCACCTAAAGTCCCAGGAGAAAGGAAACTGCATCTCCTGCAGTTCCCGGAGTGGCCGCTGTGTGTCGCCACATCACAAAAAACAACGGCGAAGGCCTTAGCGGAGTCGGGCGCGCGCCTGGCAAATTCCTGCGATCCCTGTGGGTCGCCAGAACCGAGAGTCGGTACCAAACGGTCCGCTCAGCCCCTGCCCACGCCAAGGGCCAGAAGACAAACCGCCCAGCGCCCAACACACGCTCTCACGCATTTCACGCACACGCGTGTACACTCACACACAAATATACTCACACATTTACACACACGAATACACACACAAATACACTCACACACAGACACCCCCACACACACTCTCACACATGTACACACACGAGTACACGCACACACAATTACACTCACACACAGACACACACCCACTCACACATTTACACACGAATACTCACACAAATACACTCACACAGACACCCCCCCACACACACTCACACTCATTTACACACACTCAAATACACACACACACTCCATGCACACATTTACACACACGGATACACTCACATATACAAATACACTCACACAGACATAAACCCCCCCCCACACACAAATACACACACACAGACACAAACCTCCCCACACACTCACACGAATACACTCACACACACAAACACACATCCCCCACACACTCACACACGAATACAACTCACACACACCCCCTCACACTCACACACATGAATACACTCACACAGACATACACACCCTCACACACATAAATACACTCATATTCACACATCACACAGTCTCACACACCGCCCCTCACACACACCCACACACTTTCACACACACTAATACACTCACACTCATGCATCACAGACACACCCTCTCACACACTCATAATCACACACATACCCACACATTTTCACACACATTTATACACTCACACACTCACATTCTAACACACACCCTCACACACACCGTCATATACACTCTCACATTCATACACACCCACATACACACTCCCACACCCTCACAGTTACACACTTGCACACACACTCACAAACTCACACACAGTGTCACACACATTCTCATATACCCTCACATTCACACACACTCTGTCTCTCTGTCTCTCTGTCTCTCTGTCTCTCTGTCTCTCTCTCACACACACACACACACACACACACACACACAGGACTTCAGTCACACCATTGACCTCATGAGTCTCTCTGCCCTCTGGCCATCAGAACAGAAACAGCCTGAGAGGCTGAACCCCCCACACCGCAGGCAGGAGGGTGAGATTCTGAGCTGAACCCAGCTGGGCTTCCACCCCCCACCCCATCAGTGACCAGGGCTGCCCATGGGCGGAGCCCTGTGGGATTTCTTTGGAACCTGCCAGCTCGGCTCCTCTTAGAAGGCCTGACCCTCTCTGGGCCAGGGACAGACACGTGCCCTCCGTCCCCTCCAAGGGGAGTACCACCACCAGCTCCCCATTTTCCAGAAGAGGAAGCGAAGCCATAAGTAACATGTGTCGCATCTTCCAGGCCCATGTGCTGCTGTCTGCAGAGGGAGCGCCTGCCTGTAATTGGGTCCCCCTCTCTGTCCTGGGGTACCCTCAGCCACAAGTGCCCCCTACTTCAGGTTTCCAGCTCATGTGGGGTGGCCTGTGCTGCAGGCCAGCAGAGTGCATTGACTACATCTACCCCCACCAAAGAACACAGTGTAGGAAGTATTTGTGTGCTTGTGTGTGTGTGAGACCTCTGTGTGGCCTGTCACTATGGAGTCCCGAGCCCCCTGGCTGGCAGGCCCAGTCAGGGACACCTCCACCCCGCTTCAACTTGGCCACCTGCCTGTCTTCACTAACTTTCCCAAGACCCGCCCCAACCCTGCCCTAAGCCCAAACTGGCTCAGGAATCTCTCCTAGTGGTGCTCCAGAGACCCCCTTGGGGATGCCAGGGATCAAACCCCGGACAGGCGGTGTGCAAGGCAAGCCCCTGCCCTGTTGTACTATCATCTCCACCCAGACCGTTTAATGTTCAAAGTGCTGGTCCAGAGATACATCACCGGCACCCAGGCCTCCACCCTGAAAGCAGCCCATGCAAATTTGCTCCCTGGCACCAGCTGGTCCTCTGAAATACTGTCAGCTGTGCCCCCCCAGCCCCCATCAGCACTACCGGAGGTCCAGGTAGCAGTGCCTGGACCATGACAGCCAAGAATCACCCTCTCCAGGCTTCCTGAGCACTGTTTGGGATCCCCCACCCCCACAAAAGAAGTGTTTGGGGTCTTTATTTGGAAATTTGTTGATGTTGTAGAAACTTGACTTGTTTTTTTTTTTTTGGTTTTTTGGTTTTTTTTTTGTTTGTTTGTTTTTTGTTTTTTGGGTCACCTGGCAATGCACAGGGGTTATTCCTGGCTCTGCACTCAGAAATTATTCCTCCTGGCGGTGCTCAGGGGACCATATGGGATGCTGGAAATCGAACCCAGTTCAGCCACGTGCAAGGCAAACGCCCTACCCACTGTGCTATCACTCCAGCCCCTTGACTTGTTTTTTTTAAAGATTTTTTGGGGGGTGGATAGGTGGGGCGCACTCGATGGTGCTCAGGGGTTACACCCGGTTCTGCACGCAGGAATTATGTCTGGTATTGGGTGCCGGGAATCGAACCTGGGTCAGCTACGTGCAAGGCAAGTGCCCCTACCTACTGTTCTATCACTGCACCCTGCTTAACTCTCAATTTGCTACGGTTAAATCAGTCTCCTTTGATGTCATTTGTCTGAAAGCCAAGTCCCCCGAGAACCCGCCGATGACACCAAGTGGGGACTCGACAGCCAAGTGGAGGGTCCATCCTGCTTCCTGTCCAGTGATGGTGATGGAGAGTGTGATAGGGAACCAGCCAGGCACCTCAGGAGACTCTATAAACCAGAACTCCCACAGCCACCCCAGGGCCCAGCGGGTCTATCATTTACCTGTCCAGGGCCAGCGGCACAGTTGGGGCAAGGTGCCTTCTTTTTTTTTTTTGCTTTTTGGGTCACACCCGGTGATGCACAGGGGTTACTCCTGGCTCTGCACTCAGGAGTTACTCCTGGCAGTGCTCAGGGGACCATATGGGATGCTGGGAATCGAACCCGGGTTGGCTGCGTGCAAGGCAAACGCCCTATCCGCTGTGCTATCTCTCCAGCCCCGCGAGGTGCCTTCTTGCACACAACTGACGCTGGTTCGATCCCCGGCACCACACACACATGATGTCCCCCATATATGATCCCTGAGCACTGAGCCGGGAGTACCCCAGAAAACCTCTCCACAAACGTTTACGAGCTCACACAGGAAGTGAATGTCTCCCCAGAGGCCAGACCTGCGACTATAGGGTGTGAGTCTAAACTTCGTGAGCTGCGGCCAGCTCTGTGTCCTGGCCTCCCCTTGGGCCATCTGCAAATTGGGGCGAGGAGCAGCCGCCTTCTAAAAGGGGGCGCCCACCCCCCCACCCCCAGCAGGCTCTGAGGCCGGAGGAGCCGATGGTTAAGAGTCCACTCGGAAGTACCTCCACCTGTGTCAGCTCTGGATGGTGTCATCACGGCTGGCTGGGGCTTAGGGGCTGGGTAATAACACAGCCCGTCCCTCGTCCCTCGGGGGGACCTGGGGGATTAGCCGAGGAAGGGAACGTGTGTGAGAGTGCTCGGCCCCCCGCTCAGCTCCGCACCACATAGTAAACATTAATTTACCAAGAGGCTTAAGAAAAGCGCCCGGCATGGCCCCGGCCAAATCTCTCCTCGGCTCTTTTCTGATGAGATCTTGGACCTGAGCAGCCGGGGAGCTTTGTTAAGCCTCATTCTTCTCCCTGCGTGAAAATAGGGATAAAAATAGCGACCTGGAAGAGGCTCTGGGCGGAAAGAGGGTCTTTGACAGTGGCCCTTGGTCAAGGGTACCACGCCGGGCTCAGCCGAGATCCCAGGTCGCCTGCCCTGAGGATTCAGCTGCCGGTCAGGGGCCCTCTGGGGTGGGGGGGCGGGGCTGTGCTCTAGGGGCAGCCCCCCTGCCCGCCCCCCCCCGTGCCTGCCCCTCACCCTCTGGGCCAGGGGAGCCCCCCCAGCCCCCTCCCCCAGCCCTAGAAGGGCCTCAGAGGCGGGACGCGGTTGCTAGGTCCCCGTTGCTAAGCAGCGCTCTGTGTCCTGGCCGGCTTCTCAGGAGCCGCTCCAGTCTCCGGCCTGTGGCCTCTGCCTGCCCTGCCCCTCACCCCAGAGCCTTGGAGGGCAGGTGAGGGGTGAGTGGGGGGGGGCAGCACCGGCCCCAGAGCTGGCACCCACAGGGGGCAGACCAGGCCCTGGGGAATGACCAGACTGGCCCCGGGCCTGGGGCTGGAACTGTGATGGGAGTTGAAGGGACCCCCCTCAGTCCCCAGGAGTTTGGGACTTCAAGTCGGGGGTGGTCGGTGATTCCCCACCCCCGAGGGGACCCCCTCTTTCTGCCCCTATTGTGAGATCAGCCTTTCCCATGGGGGCTGACCCCTGGGGGGACCACCGTGCTGCCCCCTCCCCCGTGTTTGCCACAGTGGGGAACTGCGCCTGAACCCAGCACCACCTCAGCTAGGCTCAGACCTTTCCCCCCCACCCCTGGGATCCGGACTGACGGGGTTTCCTTCCTCCAGAGGTCCCCGGGGACCCTTCCCCAGAGCGTCATGATGGGGAAACTGCCCCTCGGGGTCGTGTCTCCGTACGTGAAAATGAGTTCAGGGGGCTGTACGGACCCCCTGAAGTTCTATGCCACCAGCTACTGCACGGCCTACGGTAAGTGCGGACACCGACCCCGCTTCCGGGAAGCGAGACTGGGGCGGGGGTCTCGGGTCTTCCTGAATGCCAGAACCACCTCGGTCTGGCCCAGAAAAGTGAGAGACCCCCCCACCTCCATCCCCTGAGCTCACTCACCTGTCCATACCTGTGTGGCCGTGCTGTCCACTGTCCCCCTCTGTCCCCTGTGACGCTGCCACTTTGACCAGTTCCCATCCCATTTCCGGCTGCCTCTGGACCCCAAGGCTGAGCCTCTGGCCCCTGTGGGCTCTGCAGGGCCCCTGGACGCCCCCCAGGGCCTGCCTGTCTGCTGTACAGTCCCCCACTCTGTGCCCCCACAGGCCGGGAGGACTTCCAGCCTCGCATGGGCAGTCACAGGGGCACAGGCTACGAGAGCAACCTGCGGCCCTTGGTCACCTCCCTGGACAACGCCGCCAGCGGGTAGGGACTGTCTCCTCCCGCCCCCCCCCCCCCCCGACCCTGCGGGCCACTTTCTCTCGGGATGGCCATGGGTGGAGGGGGAAGGGGCTGTGCCCCAGAACAACTCCCCTCACGGGATCCCAAGGCAGGCGGGCAGTGTGGCAGGCTTCCAGAGACTTCCAACACTGTCCCCTAGGGAGGACGCAGGCCCGGTATGGGTGGCCCTGGTGGTCCCAGCAGTGCCCCCGGCCCCGTCTCCCCCCCTGCCAGGGAGAAGTACCGTGACGATGGTTTCCAGACCCTGCATAGACAGAACTACCGGCCCCTGGAGGTGCCCGACGGCAAAGCCCCGCTCCCACGGGGTCTGCACCAGACCCTGTCTGGCTTCTCGCGGGAGAACGTCCGGTCCACGGCCCCCCTCAAGGAGGTGAGCTCGGGGCTGGAGCAATAGCACAGCGGGGAGGGCGTTTGCCTTGCACGCGGCCGACCCGGGTGCGATTCCCAGCATCCCAGAGGGTCCCCTGAGCACTGCCAGGGGTGATTAACCCCTGTGCATCGCTGGGTGTGAACCAAAAAGAAAAAAAAAGGAGGTGAGCGCTGGGCTGCCCCCCCAGCCTCAACTGGCCAGGGCCGGGAGGGCGGGGACCCCCAGCCGGGTGGGGTTACATCACTGAGGGGCAAGGCTGAGATGAATGGGGGTGGGGAGCCAGGGTTTGGGGTGGGGGTCCACCCGCCTTTGTCACCTCCGCCCTCCCGCCTATCTCTACCTCCCCCCCCCACAACTGCCCCCATCCCTCACCTCCAACGCGTCCACCATCGGTCACCTCCGCCGGAGCGTCTCCATTCCCTCCTTCATCTCACCCCCACCCCCCATCTCCTCCTCCTCCTCCTCCTCCTCCTCCTCCTCCTCCATCACCACTCCCCCGCCCCCCTCTGCCCCCGTCCCTCTCCCGCCCCCTCCCCTACTCCGCTCCGCCGAGCAGGGACACCTCGACCCCACCACGCACCGCACGCAGCATGACGTCCCCTGTGCCCCCGCCTCCGAGGCCCCGCAACCCGCCTTACGGGGGGCCGCCAGGGGGTCACCTCCATCTGTGCCATCACCTCCCCCACCGCCATTTCCATCGCCACTATAACCCCCATCCTTGCCACCACCACCAACACCGGGGCAGACACGCCTTCATCCCTCCCGTCTGCTCCGAACGCCTGGTGCCAGAAGGGGATCGAAGGGAGAGAGAGCAGGGAAGGGGCCGCAGGAGTAAGGAAGAGAAGGCGGAGAAAGAGCCCGTGGTGGAGACCCCGGACAAGGACTCCAAAGGGCTTAGCGACCCCCTCGATGTAGCAGGGCAAGGGGGTGCCCCGGGCCCTGCAGACAGCATGTGCAAAGGCCCTGAGGCAGCGGAGTGTGGTGTGAAGAGGGACAGCTCCAAAGAGGCAAGTTGGCAGGGCGAGCACTGTGAGGAGCGAGGCCCTGGTCTTCGGCCACTGGGACAGACAGACAGACAAATGGACACGTTGGGCTCATCAGCTGCTCCCCGCCCCCTCCCACAGGTCAGGAAGGTCCATTTCGACACTCAGGACTACGGGGCGCAGAACATCACAGGGCTGGAGCCCAAGGAGGTGCCCCTGCTTCACCAGCAGCAGGGCAAGGGCTCCCTGGAGTGGGAGAACAACCGTCACGTGAGTGGGCTACGCCGGCAGGGTGGGGGGCCCGGCCAGCCCCAGTGGAGGCCAAATAAGGGGTAGGGGGCTTTTATTTATTTATTTTTTATTTTTCTTTCTGGGTCACACCCAGCGATGCACAGGGGTCACTCCTGGCTCTGCACTCGGGAATTACTCCTGGCGGTGCTCGGGGGACCATATGGGATGCTGGGAATCGAACCCGGGATGGCTGCGTGCAAGGCAAACGCCCTACCCACTGTGCTGTTGCTCCAGCCCCAGGGGCAGGGGGCTTTGAGTTCCGGCACTTCGAAGACAGCAGCTGTCTCAGGGTTGACACGGGGCCACTTCATCCACCACCATCCGGGGCTCTGGACACCGCTGTCCATCATACCCAGGGGTGGGACGGCACTTGGTTTGTTTTTGTTTTTTATTTTTCTTTTTGGGTCACACCCGACGATGCACAGGGGTTACTGGCTCATGCACTCAGGAATTACTCCTGGAGGTGCTCAGGGGACCATATGGGATGCTGGGAATCGAACCCGGGTCAGCCGTATGCAAGGCAAACGCCTGAGTGCTATCACTCCAGACCACGGCACTTGTTTTGCAGCGTCCCGGGCAGACCTGCTCCCTGGGGGTCGTCGGAGGGTGACTGGGCTTGGGGTGCAGCTCTCAGCACACACAGAGCCCACCCCCAGGCTCCCATCCCCCCCCCCTCCAGCCCACTCCCTCAGCCTCCACCTTCTGCGTTCCAGGGCCCGCGTTCCATGGTGTCTGAGTATAACTCCAAGTATAAGGAACCACTGAGCCAGCCAGGTGCGCACACGTCTGTCTGGGCTCAGGCCTCCCTCCCACTCTGCAGCCCCTGGCAGAGACCCCGGGGGCTGGGGGGGACCCAGGGAGGCCCAAATGAAAAGACACCAGTGGAAAGCAAAGGACAGAGAGGCGGCTCTGGGGAGCCCAGCCCAGCTGACGGTGGTGCCTACCACTACCTGAGAGAGGCGGCTCTGGGGAGCCCAGCCCAGCTGACGGTGGTGCCTACCACTACCTGCCAACCCCAAAGAAGAAGGCGCCTGCCTTGCGGGGGGAGGGGTGGGAAGGTTGACAGCTGTCACCTCCCCATTTGCGTCTCTGGACCCACGAGCCCTCCTCCCAGCCTGCACCCTGACAGAGGTTCAGTCTCCAAATCCTTGTTTTCACTGTTCGGTTTTTGTGTGTGGGCCACACCTGGCGATGCTCGGGGCTTACTCCCGGCTTAGCACTCAGGGATCATTCAGGCAGGGCTCAGGGGAACCCGGTGGGGTGCGGGGAATCGAACCCGGGTCAGCCATGAGCAAGGCAAAGCACCTTCCCTTCTGTGCTGTCATTCTGGTCCACCTCCGAGTCCCTGGGACTAGCTACTTCTCTACTCCATGAAACCCTGGGCTTCAGGAGACCGCATGGGTGGGATCGACCCCACCCCCCCAAATAGAGATCTCTGCAGATCTGTTGCAGAAGAAATCCATCGGCCCCAAGGAGGAGAGCGGCTTCACTGAGGAGTCAACCAAGAACCCCATTGTCTTTCTGCCGCCTTCACAGGCCCTACCCGGGGACCCGGTGAGTCCTGGCGCCCGTGGCAGGATCCCTAGGGCGAAATAAACCCCTTCCAGCTAGCGGTTTCTAGCACATTCCAAAAGTCTGAGCAGCTTTGTTCAAATGCAAGATGAACACACCCGGGAGAAAACTTTGGTGTTGGTTCAACTTTCCCATTGATTTAGTTTTTCTTCTTTGGGTCTGACTTACTCCGGACTCTGTGCTCAGGGATCACTCCTGGTGGGCTCGGGGGCCCACGTGGGATGCCGGGGATCGAACCAGGGTCGGCCACGTGTAAAGCAAGAGCCCTCCCCACTGCACTATCACTCTATCTATAAGGTCCCCCATAGCATGGATGAAAAAACTGAGGTTCCCAGGCGGGACTCACCACGGACAACTGTGACCCGCCAGTTTGATATCACATCCTTCCGGGCAGGGTGGTAGTGTTGGGGGCGGGGGGTTGGCTGGTTGTGACAGGGGGAAAGGTCAGTTCACTCAGAAGGACGCAGCTGATCTGTGGGGCTGATACTCCTCCGGACTCTCCCCAGGTCCTTGTCCCCAACCGCAGTGTCACCAAGTCGGACTTTGTTCCCGTAAACTATCCTCGTGTAAGCCGAGTCGCGGGAGGGTGGCTGGTGCCCGTGTCCATGGGTAGGGGGCCCCAATGGGGCAGGGGGGGTGGCCGGGTGGAGGGGGACGCTCTATGCCTGCAGCTGGGTTGCCTCTGCAGGGGAATGAGTTCCTGCCAGTGCTGGCCAGAGGGACCGAGCGTGAGTCGGGCTTCAGCCGGCCCAGCGAGCGGAACATCAACCCCAGGGTGAGCGGCTGGTTTCTGGGGCGCAGCTGGCTGGCGGGGCAGGGTTCCGAGGGGCCCGTGGGGACCTGTGCTCGCCCCCCCCGCCCCCTGCAGGTGCCTGCCCCAGCGCCCGAGGCCTGCACCATGACCCTCCGACAGTTTCAATCGCCCCAGCGAATGCAGCAGACCAACTTGGCCCTGCTAGGCCGCGAGTCCATGGGCAACAAGGTGAGGCCTGCGGGGCTGGACATTAGCACAGCGGGTAGGGCGTTTGCCTTGCATGAGGCCGCCTCAGGTTCGATCCCCAGCATCCCATAGGGTCCCCTGAGCACCGCCAGGAGTAATTCCTGAGTGCAGAGCCAGGTGTAACCCCTGAGCATCGCCGGGTGTGACCCAAAAAGCAAAAAAAAAAAAAAATGGTAAGGCCTAGACCATCTGGCTCTCAGTCCCGAATCCCCAGTGCCCCCTGACCCCACCAATCCGTCCTTTCTCCCGTGTAGGAACCCTCAGGGTACACTCTGAACAACCCCAGTTATGTCCGGAGCACCCAGGACCCCAACATGGATAATCACTACCTGACCACCTACAACCAAGGGTGAGACTCCCCGCCCCCGCCCAGCCCTGGGGAGGTCTGGGCTGGGTACGCAGAGGTGGACACAGTGGGGAGTGTACAGCCTTGAGTGGGAGCGCAAGCCCCTCGCAGCAGACCCGGAGGGCCAAGATTTTTTTTTTCTCTTTGGATCATACCCGGCGATGCTCAGGGGTTACTCCTGGCTCATGCACTCACAGGAATTACTCCTGGAGGTGCTCGGGGGGACCATACAGGATACTGGGGATCGAACCCGGGTTGGCCGCATACAAGGCAAGCACCCTCCCTGCTGTACTATCTCTCTGGCCCCCCGGGCCAAGTAGTTTGAGTGCAAGGGGAACTTGATCAGGGGGCTATGGGGAGAGTAGAAAAGTGGGGTACGAGGGGAGGCAGATCATGAGTGTGTTTCTGAGCTAGTGTGGGAGAGGGAGGAGCAGAGACTCTAGAGAACAGCAATACACAACTCAGTTACCTCAGCCAAGGGGATCTGCACCCCGGTATCTACGGTCAGTGTGAATCCCTGTCCCCAGGGATAATATTAACCCCCAACCGCCTCCTTGCTGAGGCCAAACTGCCTTCCCAGAGAGCAGTGGGCCAGGGACCAGTAAGGGGGCTGTAAGCGCGGCTAGGCGGCCCAACAAGGCGTCTGCTAAGACGCTCTGTCCAGTCTGTGGCAGAGGGGCTCCACGTTCCCTCGGCTTTGCATCCACCGAGGAGTGACCAGCCTGGGCATCTGGGCACCTGGGAGGGCTTCCGGGAGGAAGCCCACTGACAAGTGCAGAAAGCCCAGTGCCAAGGAGAGAGGAGCAGGAGCCTGGATTAGGAAGAAGAGCCAGCAGGGGGAGGTGGGTCCAGCACACGATGGGGAGGGCGGGGCCAAGACCTGGGGGTGTGGTCTCCAAGGGCGGGGTCAATGGGTGGGGCCAATGGGTGGGGGCGTGGCCCCTAGGGGCGGGGCAATAGGCGGGGCCAAGGCCTGGGGCGTGGTCCATAGGAGTGTGGGTGAATGGGCGGGGCCAATGTCTGGGGCGTGGTTTGTAGGGGCGGGGCCAATGCCTGGAGTAGGGGGTGCAGGGGCTGGAAGTTAGGAGATGGGGCGTGGGAGGAGGGACTCAGGCAAAGCCGCCCCTGACAGCATCTGCCATCTGTGTCAGCATATGCCTCGAGCATCCTCCTTGTCCTCCCCCACCCACCCGCTGCTCTGTCGCCCAGGGTGCCCCTGCGAGCACCCTCCCCCTCCTGCCCGAGGGCGGCTTCTCATCCCACGCAGGCTCCCTCTGGGCCTCCTCCCAGCACCTGCCATCCTCCCGGGTCCGTCCTCTACCCACCTTCAGTGCTGCGTGTCCCGTACACGGCTGTTCCGCGCGGAATGGGTCGCCGCGCCCCCCACCCCCACCCCTAAGGCTGCAATCCCCAGTTTCTGTTTTTGACAGCCTTTTCGGATGTGCTATAGCTGGAGCGATAGCACAGCGGGCAGGGCGTTTGCCTTGCACACGGCTGACCTGGGTTCGATTCCTCCGCCCCTCTCGGAGAGCCTGGCAAGCTACCGAAAGTATCCCGCCTGCTCGGCAGAGCCTGGCAAGCTCCCCTTGGCGTATTGGATATGCCAAAAAAAAATTAGTAACAAGTCTCACAATGGTGCCGGCTCGAGCAAATCGATGAACAACGGGAGGACAGTGCTACAGCCTTTTAGGAAGAGGGGGCAAGGAGAGGACCAGGCCCTCATCTTCCTCAGCATCTGCAGAACCCAGCCCCTTTTCCCAGGGAACACTGGTCAAGTGCAAGAAAGGCTTGAATGTCCAGAGAGAAGTGCAGGACCTGGGGGGGAATCCCCCATCTGTAAGGTGCTCAGAGGCCAGAACAGGGCAGGGTGGGGGAGGCACTGCTTGGACCTGGGGGTTCAGGAGTGAAACCCCCCACCCCTGCAGAAGCGCCCAGTTCAGGGACAGGGCGAGCAGGCGCCGGCTTCCTGGGGAAGCCTGTGTCCCAAGGGCTGCCGGGAGCCTCAAAGAGGAGGCTGGGGGCCACCTGGATCCCCCCCAGGTGGAGGGCAGGGTGCCTGCAGGGGCCGCGGGGACCAGCTTCTTGGTGCTGCAGGTACTTTGAGAACACACCTAAGGGGCTAGACCGGGAAGGCTGGACCCGAGGGGGCATCCAGCCCCAGAAGCCCGGGGGCTATGCCCTCAACCAGCCGGTCACCCGTCTGGAGGGCGTCCCCAACCCAGAGGAAAGCTTGAAGCGCCTGCACCCCCACGTGGGAAGGTAGGCTTCTCCTTCCCTGTCTGTCCATCTGTCTGTCTGAGAGGTGGACTTCTTCCCCCTGACTTGCTCCCGGCTTCCCCAGGCAGGGCTGTGTGTGTGTGTGTGTGTGTGTGTGTGTGTGTGTGTAGGAGAGAGGAGGGGGCGGGGAGCAGAGTTGACCCCAACTGCTCCCCAACTCCCTCTGGCTCCTTCCTGCTCCATCGTCCTCCTCCTCCTCCCCACCAGATCCCCCCAACCCCCATGGGCAGGGTCATCTTGGGGCAGCCTGGCTGAGCACTTCCTGCTGAGCACTCCCTGCCTCCCTCTCTACCCCCCTCCCTCCCTGCAGAACCCTCATCTCCACAGACCCCTTCTACCGAACCCCACCCCACAGCAACCACTTCACTGCCCCCAACTGAGCCTGCGACCTGGGTAAGGAGCTGGGGGACCCCCGCCCACATCTGCTCCCAGACTGACCGGCAGGGGGCGTGGTCAGGGGGGCAGGCTGAGGGATGGGGAAGCGCCCGGGATAGCCCAGAGAGCCCCTCACTTCTCGTGTCTGTTCCCCGTAGGTTCCTCGAGCCCAGGGGTCAGGAGCCGGCCACTGTTCCTACTGCCCCCATCCCCACTGGTTCTCTTCCTCGAGGAATAAAGAGCCGTGGAACCCAGCTGGTGTCGCGTGCCCATCATGGGGGGCTGGGGTGGCCGGATGCAGGGCAGGGGGACCTGACTGGACGCCTGGGGACGGACACTGGACCAGGCTCTTCCTGAGACTCGGACAGGAGAGTTTTTTGTTTTGTTTTTTCTTTTTGGGTCACACCTGGTAATGCACAGGGGTTACTCCTGGCTCCGCACTCAGGAGTTACTCCTGGCTGTGCTCAGGGGACCATATGGGATGCTGGGAATCGAACCCGGATCAGCCGCGTGCAAGGCAAACACCCTACCCGCTGTGCTATCTCTCCAGCCCCCAGGAACTTTTTGTTGCTGTGTTTTTTGGGTTTGTTTTTTTTTTCTTTTTGAGTCACACCCAGCGATGCACACAGGTTATTCCTGGCGGTGCTTGGGGGACCCTATGGGATGCAGGGAATCGAACCCGGGTCGGCCACGTGCAAGGCAAACACCTTCTCCGCTGTGCTATCACTCCAGCCCCAGACAGGAGAATTTAAAGGAGAGAACAGGAGTTGAGGGAAACAGGGAGGGTCACAGAGATCTCTCCCCAGAGACTGAGAAGGGTTCCTCCATAGACTTGAGTCCTGGTGACCCCACAGACACGGGACCCCATGAACCCCATAGACTCAAGCCCTGGTGATCCCATAGACTCAGACCCTGGTGACTCCACAGACGCGGGACCCGGTGAACCCCACAGACTGTCCCTGTGGGGGGGGGTTCTCAATGGAAGAGTCCCCACTCCAAGACTTCGGGACAGGGCTGTCCAGTGGCAGGGAGAGCCGGGCTTATGGAGCCATCCCTGCCCACCTTACATACATGTGGACGCAGCACAGAAGCCACCTGGATAAAGGGCGGGCACACACGGGCCCCCAGGGAGGCACAGAGATGCATCACGGTCACCCACTGATGGACAGATGCCAAACAGGCCCAGGGACCTGCACTCAACACCAAAGACTATTGTGCACACACAGGCATACACACACATGCGCGCACACGCACACACACACACAGACCACCCACATACACACATTCTCACAGATAGACACCACACACACATACATTCCGACTATACACATCCACACAGGCAGACCACAGCTGTGCATACACACACACACACACAGGCTGACTATATACATCCATACACACACGGACTGATTATACACATCAATCTATACACACACACACACACACTCTGACTATGTGCACCCATTCATACACACACACACACAGGCTGACTAAGCGCATCCATCCATACACACACACACACAGGCTGACTGCACATCCATGTACACCACACAGGCTGACTATATACATCCATGCACGCGCATGTGTGCACACCCACACACCCACACATACACAGGCTGACTATGCGCGTTCATACATATAACACAGGCTGACGATATACATCCATACTTGCATGTGTGTGCACGCACACACAGACACACACACACAACACAGACTACCCACATACACATTCCCATGGACAGATAACCACACACACACACACACAGGCAGACCACAGCTGTGCGCGCACATCCGTATACACGGGCTGATTATACACATCCATCCATATACACACACAGGCTGACTATATACATCCATCCACACACACACACACCCATACACACCATACAGGCTGACTACATCCATACATGCGTGCACACACACTCGCAGACACACCAGGAGAGCCAGGCAGATAACCCACAGTCCCCGCCCCCTGCACACCGCCCTGCTGCCAGCCTCTCTCCGCTCACCTGATCTGTCTCCCAGCATCTGGTGTCATTGCTGCACTCACCAGCCACCCGACACCGTTTCCAGGACATCTGAGCTGGGGTCACCCGGGTCTGTTTCTGGAGCTGGGGCTCTGGACTCACCCAAGCTCTGGCTGAGCCATGGCCTGGATGCCCCCCTGAGCCACTGCCCACTGCCCACAGCCTCTCCGGGGGCCCATTCTGCCTGCCCAGGTGGATCCCCACTCCAGCCAGGGATGGCAGGAAAGGGCCGCTTCCGGGGTCCCTGCCCGGACCAGGGTCAGGCTTCGCAGGGAGAGCCCTTGTTCAGGTCACATAGCCAGCAAGGACCTTGGGGAGACCTGCTGGGAAGGGATCCCAGAGTGACAGTGCCTGAGGGCCAGTGCCTGCCCACCTGACCAGGGTCCCCGTGGAGGGAGAGGTGGGGGGCCAGCTCGTGAGTGCCAGGGCCCAGTGGCCAAGCTGTGGGCAGTGAGACAGCACCCCCAGGGAGAAGGGTGGTCAGTCAGATTTCAGGGCCCCCCAGGGCTGTGCCTCAGAGCCCTTCGCTGTGTGTGGGTCTTCAACCAAACGATGCAGTTCCCCAATCAAAAGATGCAGTTTCCCAAGGGCACTCACAGGCCTGCTGGACTGGAGGAAGGAATGAGTGAACTCTGCTGTTGGGGGCCCAGGTGTGGGCACCGGGCCTCCCCTCCCTGGCACCGTGACACCAACCTCCAGACCTCATGCAGAGAGCAGAGCGGTTTCCATGTGCCTGAGGCCCCGCTGTGGTCTGGCTCTGCTCGGGGCCTCTTCTCCCTCAGGCTTCCCTCTGCTCCGTCCTGGCCAGATGCCACTTGAACCCCCTCACTACCACCACCACACGGCTCCTGCAGTAGCCCAAGAGCCCCCACACCCCAGCCTTGACCCCGTTGTCCCCCAGCCCAGGGCAGGGACACCCAGAGCGCGGGCTCCCCGAGGCCAGACAAGAGGGTCACATGCTTCTATCCCTGCCGCTCCTTGGGGAGCTGAAGTCTCCTCACCCCGGGCTCGGGGGCGTCTTCTCAGTTGGGTGCTGCCAGGCGAGTGTGGGCACTGATTCGACAGATGCATTTCTTTTTATTTATTTATTTTTTTGCTTTGCTTTTTGTCTCACACCAGCGATGCTCAGGGGTTACTCCTGGTGTTGCTGGGGGAACCATATGGGATGCCGGGGATCGAACCCGGGTTGGCCACGTGCAAGGCAAACACCCACGCTGCTGTGCTATCGCTCCAGACCCTCCGCAGATGCATTTCTAAGACCCACCTCCCACTCCCTCTCCTGGGCCTGGCCTGGGGAGCATCAGCCCTGTGCCTCTTCCAGGAGACAACAGCCCAGCCCGATGGCCCGAATTCAAACCCCCACTCTCACTCGGTCAGGAAGCAGCCCCCCGATGAGGGGGGCCCTGGAACCCGGTTCCCCAGTGGGGTCTCCGGTTGGGGTCTCTGTGCCTCCTGCCGGGCCCACACAGGGAGAACCGTCCGCCCATCCGCCCGTTCCCAGAAGCCCAGGCAGCCACTTGGGAAGTGGGGGACCGGCCCCCCCGCCCAGCCTGTGCCCACCTCAGCCCACACCCCACCCCGAGAGCGGTGCCCCTGTTGCAGCTGCGCCCCGCGGAGCTCTCGGGAGCCGTCAGTTCTGGCGCACGACGATGATTAACCTCCCACAGCCCCCACAGCCCTGCGGGTGCCGGGAATATTCCGTGGCCTTCCTCCCCGGCTCCCCCGGGGGCAGGTTTGGGGACACAGGTGGGAGCCGCGCTGACAGCCGTGACTGACGTGGGGGCGAGGAGCAGGATGGGGACAGATGCGGGGGCCACGCCGCCAGGGGGCCCCTCTGACGCACAAGGACGGGTGAGGCTGCTGCCCCCGTCACGTGGCCTCCGCCGCTGACAGGCACCATCTGGCCCAGGTCACAGGGTGGCCCTGGCCACTGGCCGCTTGGGGAAGGAAAAGGCGCGTGCCCCCAGGGGTGGCGGGCCAGTCTGGGGTGGGTCTGAGGGGGAGGACGCGCTCCCTCCCTGCAGATCAAGGGGCGCCTGAAGTTGCAGTCGGACCCCTGATTTTCCTCTCTCACCATCTGGAAAGACCCCCCCCCCCACCTCCCTTCCAAGAAAGGCTCCTGCAAGAATCTATTCAGCATGCGTGAGGGGCTAGAGAGAGCTAGCACAAGGGGAAGGGAGCTTGCCTGGCCCGCAGCTGACCGGGTTCGATTCCTGACATCCCATAGGATTCCCCCCCACCCCAGCCCTGCAAGGAGTGATTCCTGAGTGCAGAGCCCTGAGCAGCGCCGCATATGCCCCCCCCAAAACAAAACAAAACAAAAAGAATCTGATGCATTGCATTCATCTGGGGAACATAAAGCAACAAAATGGGAGACTAACACCCAGGAGTGGCTGAGATTAGTACCAGGAATTTTGCTCCATGGCTTGGAGGCCAGCCACACGTGCTAGGGGGAAAGGGAGCTCAGATAGAGAAGGGAGCACCAAATAAAGGGTGTTGGGAGGATCCTCCCAGGATGGGAGAAGCATGCTGAAAGTAGACTGTAGACCAAACATGATTGCCACTCAATGCCTCTTTTGCAAACCACAACACCCAAAAGGAGAAAGAGAACAGAGGGGAATGCCCTGCCACAGAGGCAGGGTGGGATGGGGGGATGGGGGGTGGGAGGGATGCTGGGATCCGTAGTGGTGGGAAATAAGCACTGGTGGAGGGATGGGTATTTGATCGTTGTATAATCGAAACCCAAGCACAAAAATTTGTAAGTCTACAACTGTACCTCATGGTCCTTCACTAATAAAAATTAGGAAAAAAAGAATCTGATGCACAAGAAGGGAGGAGGGACAGAACAGAGCCTTTCTTCCCCCCTCCCCCCACCCCTGCTGGAGCCTGTGCAGGGTCAGAGAAGCCCCACAGGCTACCCAGGAGACGAGGAAACACCTCAGTACTCCAGAGCTCAGCCAAGCCAGCTGCTCGCATGGGAAAACTAACTCTTCCCCCATACAGGAGGGGCGAAAAACCCCATGAAGTAGCTCTGCTCTGTAAAGAGGTCTGGGGGCTCTGCTCGGAATACAGCCCCTCCTCCTCACTGTACTGAGTCCCTCGGGGTCTCCCAGGGCAGAGTGGGGGGCGCCGGAAGCCCCCTGCAAGAACAAGGTTGCCAGGCCCATGACCAGGGCTGAGCACGGGGCTTAGAGCATTAAGCAGAGAACCGCACTGAGCCCAGTGGAGTCATCCAACAGCACAGCAAAATTAAAAATAAAAAA